AAATTTATCTCCTCATCTTTCATCTGGGGATAATGATGGCACCTACCTCATAGGACTGTTGAAGATAAAATAAGAAAATCCATGTAACAATGCCTCCCACAGATGAAGAGGTCATTGTTAATTAATCCTGGTGTTATCCATTTAAAAAGCTTTTAAAAGAGTATTTCTAAACTGTTGACAAGATAAACTATTTTAGACAAGATAATTCTTTGTTGGGGCAGTGGGGAGAGGAGGGGGCAGTGCTGTGCATTAAAGGATGTTGGGCAGCATCCCTGGCCTCTATCATCTTGATGCCAGTAGCATTCACCCTCCAGCTTCAAACCAAAAATATCTCCAGATATTTCCAACTATCCCCAAGGTATTAAAAAAACAAAACAAAACAAAACGAACAAACAAAAAAAACTCAACCCTGGTTGATTTTTTGAAAACTACTGCTTTAAAGGAACCAATTTAAAGGAACCAATTTAGGACAAAAAGATGAAAGTATTACTTTCCACAGTGGTAGCTATTTTTTAGTTAAAGCAACTGGTGATACATACCAAAAACATAAAAAGGTTCAGAGGATTTAGAAATAACACACACATAACACATAGACCCTAATCAATAAAGTTTCTAAAAGATATTTGGAATTCTGTGTACTTCTAAGGTTGAAGTAATGGAGAACCCCTCTTACTGACTTTCAATGACTGTCTGGGGCTGCTGCCAGATAAAATGAAACATCAAGTTGTGTGGATGATCAGCCCCACCTAGCAGGATACCTGAGAGCTCTCCTGTTCCAGAAATCCAATTGTAAACTGCACGTGCAGTAAGAACACATTTCATGGCATTCCTAGAGGAGCACTATGTTATAGAAAGTGTTCCCAGATCTCCCTACACCAAAGAATCACCAGGGAAGCCTTTCTAACACGGAAATTTTCAGGCCTCATCTCTGTATTTGAGTTTTGCATTTTAGGGTAGGAAGCCCAGACATCTGTTAAGTTCAATAAGAACTTCGAAGTTATTGGGAACTTGTGGTCAAGTGGACAGTATCTTAAAATGTGAGAGAGGAAGTCCTCTTCAACTCTGTGTTACTTCGACTTCAACATTTGGAAGAAACCTACAACCATGCAGAATTCTTTCTGGAAATAAATATAGATTGTAAATAGATATATGACATTAGTGTTCTCTAATAATTGACGTTAGCAACAAGGCTCTTGCCCAAATGGAAAGTTTGATTTGAAAAATCAATATTTTAGAATAAAAGAATTAATTAGGTACTTCTGTGGAATAATTATTTCTAATAATAAGCCTTCAGTTGTCTCCAGTGACAGTTTTTGCTACAAACTCCATGTCATCAATCGTGGTCAGACAGAACTGGGGTTACTATGCTTAGTCATGTGGAACGTCAAACAGTCCTTGCACATACTTTAAAAATGACAAGAAGTTAAAAAGCCAATCTTCATTCCATCTTCCATTCGACAACACCAGAAAAGATGCTTACTGATGCCATGGAGGATACATTTGCTTCAGCAGTTAGAGGCTATTAATTCAGTTACAGGAATTTTGAGCCTAAATACAGTGTGGGTTTTCATCTCACATTTTACAATTTGCAACCTACAGATAGCGTTACTGGCTGTCTTGGATTGCCTGGGACTCAGGATTTCCTAGCATGTGGGACTTTTGGTGCTAAAACCTGGGACAGTCCTGGGCAAACCAGGACAGTTAGTTACCCTAGAGATCATCCCAAAGCTGCCTTGCAACTGGTTGCCTCTCTATCACTTTTCTTTAACAGCTTCTAAACCCCTCAAATCTGTCTCTGTCCCCATCACTTGTCCAGGCCCCCATCTCACCATTTCTAGCCTACACACTTGGGTGCTTGAGCACCTTTCTCTTCCTGATGTAAGTGAACTGAGCTGACAGGTCACAGACCCTGAGTTATAAGTCCATGTGATCTGCAAGCCTCTCTCTGTTGATGAAATTGAGGTGAAGCAGAGTCAAAGAAAACCTGAGAGAATCCAACCTTCTCTCTCACAATTCAAAAACACTGTCCACTTGAATAGTATTTCCCAATACTCAGAAGTGTTCAAAAAATATAAAGATTCCAGGACTTCCACTTTAGACTGTCTAGAGATGAGGACTGAGAATCACATTTGAAAACTTCCTGGTAATTATGATGTGCAGGAAGATTCAGGAACACTATCTAGAATACTGTACTTCGAGGGCTGCCATGAAATGTGTTCTTACTGAAAGTGCAGTTTATAATTGGATTTCTAGAACATGGGAACATTTTAGGTATTTTACTGGGTGAGACTGACCTCTGTAACCCATACACCCAAGTTAAAAGCCAAGTGTTATCTCAAGACATAGAGGCTACAATACTTTGCTCAGACCATCATTTCAGATGTCCACTGCAAAAGTTAAACTTTACTTAAGTCACTCCCTCAAGTGTAAAGTAAGTCTGAAATTTATTTGAATGACATAAATTTTTATTTGTGAATGCTTGCTTTTAATGGTTAATTAGTAGCATATTATAGTAAGATATTCCTGTAAAAATCACCTGTTAGATTTTGTCTGTTATACCAATTATTGACATCGATAATACTAATTGAGTATTTATATACACGAAAAGCTCAGAGGTAGGTGCGAGACTTTAAGAGGAAGTTTTAAGTTACTATAATCTTTATAGACTTAAGGCCATCTGTGCTAACATTATGCAATCACAGTCTCATCAGGGAGTTACACACGCACAAAAACTAAAGTTTCCAGATGTTCAAAGATCACTCTAGAAATGTTGCTGAATGTTGGAACTGCTGATCTAATATGAAAACAAAATTTCTTCTGAGTGACACATGGATTAGAAAATGTATGGCCTTCTTATAAGTGTGTCTCGGAAGCCAATGAGACCAAATGCCCTATAACTTAACTGTGAAAGCCTCTTCCAGATGCCTCTCACTTTGGCAATATCCCTGCCAAACGAAGAGACTCCTTAGATCCCCGAGACTATCTAGTTTCCAGATTGTATCAAAGGGTTTTATTTTAAAATTAGAGGAAAATGTGTCAAAGTATTACAAGGCTGAATATAGGGGCTGGAGCTTCTTCACTTTTTCCATATTAGCTCCCACTCAGTCATTTTAGCTAAAGGAGACTCCTCATTCATAAGGTCCACAAAGATGAAAAATCAAGATGGGTTTTATCACTGAAAACTTGCAAGAGCTGTTGTTGCCTAGTGTACACACACACACACACACACACACACACACACGCACACACACAGAACGAAAAACTCTTTTTCATAGACTCTTGGAAGGGCTATGGGACATCTCAGATTCACCTACATTTTGGAAAATCCACTATCCAACACACAAGCCTCCTCTGTAAGAAGCTTTCTGTCTATTACTGCCATTTGACACTTAATATGGAATATATTGACAGTTCCTTTGTATGGGCAATGCCTACATAAACTCAGTATATTTCCCATGTTACGAGAAGTGTTAATAAGCTTGTTCAAAATCCTGTTCATTTAGAGTGAGAAAATGCACTTGACTTTTCCAGAAAATAAGACACATACACTCACTATAAAATATATAGATATATATCCATATCGAACTTTCAATAAATATTTTATTAAATCCTCTTTGTTGGATACTTCTATCGTATACCAAATATCACATAACTCGAAAGTTAATTCGTATTTGGCTTAGACTTCTCCATGTGTTTTGTATGTTGTTGGTTGAGGTTAGTGGAAGAAGAAGGGCATTGTCTAATAATCTGACTTAAACCCCTAATTGGACTGACATTGGCTCATGCCCAATTTTACTTGCATTTCATCTAAACACAATGGCAAACAGAGCAGGGGAGCTCACCAGGCAACAAGGACAGCCAGCTGCTGGCCACCTGCATCCATGGGGAAAAAACTTACTGTTTCCTAGCAGGGTTACACTAGGCTTCAGTGTCCTTACTGTAAATAGTATTATTTCACATGTTAGCTTAAGGATTTAATATAATAGATATAAAGTTTTCAGACAAGTGCTTGGATCATAGAAAATCTTCAATAATAATAGTAGCTACCATTAGTAATTATTAACTACTATTATTAAAAACATCCAAAAACTGGAGATGACTATTTTGCCTGTTTAGATTATATGGGTGTTTGAAACAGTAATGTTTGAATGTGCTATCGCTAATGGTACTGAAATAGATTACCTCTGTAAACCTCTTCCTTCAATTCCTGGAGATAAAGGACATCTCACAAAGCAAGCTCACCTAAGCTTATTTCTACCATCTATCCAGGAACCAGTCTGCAAACCTCTGACCCATTTGTGTTAAAAAAGATAAGCTGTGCTCTCATTTCTACTCATGTAAATTAGTGTTTCTTTTCTGTCTAAGTCTTCCTAGGAACATTAATTTGCCTTCTGCTTAAAGTCAACCTATCATCCTCTGGATTAAAACTGGAGAAAATAACAGACAAATGAAACCCAATTTTGAGAATTTTCAATACAGAAATTAATGCTAAAAAAATGAGACAGAACAAGACAATACAGGATCAGAATGATATACCACTCACCTCCACTTTCCTTGGACCATCTTACAAGCAATTAACAGAAGAAAAGAAGTAGCAATGTTGAAACCCTCATTCCTCAGTACCTCAAAAATATCATGTCTCGAAATTCATGAGCTTCAAGCACAGATTATCTAAGCCTAGTGATATAAAATAAGCACACCATTTGTCACAAGAGACCAAATAGAAAAAAAGACTAGGAGTTGTAATGGGTACTTTTCACCTGACACTCATCTATGTAAGTGTGACTCTTGGCCCCCAGCTGGAGAGAAGGCTCTATATGTCATAGCACATCTTAACTCCTCCTGACCCCTCTCAGCTCCTCAGGTATAACTCAAGCGCCTCTTCGGCATTCACGTTGCACCAGGCACCATTTCCCACAGGGGGCCAGATTTAGGATGAAGTAGCAAGCTAAACTATCTTGAGAGTACAAATGAGGACTTTACCCCAGCCAGCCTCTTACCTGCAGCATCTGCCGCTTCGGCAGGGACACTCTGGGTGGTTGCTGGGGCTGGGTCCTTGACGCCATGCACCTGAGCAGCTTCTTCCTGGTTTGTCAAAAATGCAGAGCAGAGATCAGTTTCAAGGGCTTGGAGCTTCAGCAAGGAATTCTGCCAGCAAAAGCAGAACATGGGACTAGCTAAGTAAATGCCTAACACACAACAGTGGATCTGCAGCTCTCGCAAGCACCTTTCCCCAGCACCTGGCAGGAAGAGGGTCACAGTACCAACTGCTGCAAGCAGAGCTGGTTGTGCCAGAATCAGCTATGCATTATTCCATAGGCGGCTTCAGTTTCTGCCTCATTTAAATCCTACTGTATATGGATTATCTGTTACACATGGGACTAGTGATGTCGTCAGCAAGAGTCGCTGCAGCCAGACAACCAATTTGAGAAGGTATCTGCTTCCCAAGTGCTTGAGGCTTTACACTTTGCAAGTGCTTTATTCATTGTGCTGACATCAGGAGCGGATGACTTTAGGCCCCTCCCAGGCTACCATTCATAAAAGCCAGCATCTCTCCACTGCAAAGACTGCAGCAGACCGCAGTGCACAAAGAGTTAGTGCTGCAGAGGCTGCCTGGCATCTGGGAGGTGCTTCGGGGCTGCCTTATCTACGTCTGTATGTGGAGTATGAGTGTGTGCGTGCATGTGCACGTGCACCTGTGAGTGCACGCATGTATGTGTATTGTAAAGTTACTTCTCTCACATGGAATAAAAGGCAGCTGCCTTTTATTAAGAATAGAGTACAGGGACTGAGGGAGATGACCTTGGTCATTTAGTGTGACCCAGCCACTGAGAGAGAAGCAATTCATCTTTCCTAGCTCCCAGTATAAGCTCCCCCCACCACTGCTTTCATTTCTCATTTTAAATTTCTCCCATGGTTCTTAATAAAAACAAAGTCATACAGAGTGACGCACATATCCTGACGCACATGATGCAGATGTCCAGCAAATTAATTCCCTAGACCAGGTGAAAGTGAGTCATGCCTGCGTCCCTGTCGATGATGGCGCCACTCCCCCTGCTGTGGGAAAGGTCTTCGGGCTTCAGCAGCTCCTCCACCCACTAGGCTCCTGGCAGGGGTGGCCACCCAGAGTGAAGCCATTGGTCCTTTCCTTACTATGACCCTACAACACACACACACACACACACACACACACACACACACACTCCTCTCTCTCACTCACAACTACTTACACCCTATCCTCCAGATATCCTATTCTCCACATACCCTACTCCCCACAATCCTCACACCTAACTGCCACACGCTCACATCCTACTCCACGCACATCCCATCCCTATCTTGTACATACCCTCACACTCTATCCCACACATATCTCTATTCCATACTCTATACATACATTTACCCCATCCTACATGCCCTCATGCCAAACCCCTATACTTTTATACACTATTCCACACACACACTAACTCCAAAATACGCCCACCTCCACCCAATATACACTCTCATTCCTTCTCACTCATTCCTTCCATCTCCTTTTCCACACATACATACAAACACCTTACCATACACATCCCCACACCCTACCTACCACACCCTCTCATTCCTAACTCCCACTCTCATATCCTATTTCATACACACACATCTACCCCTACCCCCACACACTGATACCTTGCCTCCAATACACATCTACCCCCAACATCTCCTCACACCCCACCTGCTCCCTCTCACAATACCCGCTCCCGCACACATGCCCTCATTCATACGGCCGATGTTACTAAATGCAAACCTACAGCAGTGTTACACAGCTGCTTATTGAGGAATATCTAAAATCTATTGTCCCTTGGCCATTTTAAAAGTGGCAGGTGCATAAGCAGGCTCAAGATGGGGTGAAATCTGGCACAAACATCCTCAGTGCTCAGGGACTGTTGCCTGAATGCCCACAGCTCCAATGAAGCATCTACCTGAGACCTGACCACTTCTTACTGCTTCCTCCTCCTTTCTGGGATGTTTTCCCAGCAGCTGAATTTGGAAGCAAGAGCCCAAGGTTGCTGAAAGGAGGTCCAGAAGGAGCAAGGGCACCAATTTTCTGGAAAGATTTACTAACTAAACACCTGGGAGACAAAAAGAACAATTCCAGGTAGCCTTCCTAATGGAGCGCGCCTTGGAAATCAGAATAATTTCTTTAAAAGAGCAAAACTCTTCAGAAAATTAAGAAACAATGCCATGGGAATGTAAAATGGTATAGCTGCTACAAAAAAATAGCATGGTGGTTCCTCAAAAAATTAAAAGCTAGAACTATCACATGATCTGGCAATTCTACCGCTGGGTATATGCCCGAAAAGAATTAAAAGCAGAGACTCAAATGGATATTTGCACACCCATATTTATAGCAGTATTGTTCACAATAGTCAAGAGAAATATTATAGACCGAATTGTGCCTCCCTCCAATCCACATGTTGAAGCTCTAACCCCCAATGTGACTGTATTTGGAGATGGGACCCTTAAAGAAGTAATTAAGATAAAATGGGTCATAAGGATCCAATATGACTGATGTCCTTATAAGAAGAGAGACGGACAGACAGACAGAGACACAGAAAGGAAGAGACAGAGATAGCAGAGATGCACATGCACAGAGGAAAGGCCAGGTTAGGACACAGTGAGAAGGTAGTCAACCACGAGCCAAGGAGAGAGGCCTCAGCAGAAGCTAAGCCTAACAGCACCTTGATCTTGGACTTTCAGCCTCCAGAACTGTGAGAAAATAAACGTCTGCTGCTTAAACCACCCAGCCTGTGTTATTTTGTTATGGCAGTCCTCATACCATGCTAGCAGACTAATACAAAGTGGAAGCAACCTGAGTGTCCGTCAGCAGATAAACTGATAAACAAAATGTGGCATATACATACTATGGGACATTATTTAGCTTTAAAAAGGAAGGAAATTTTGACACATGCTACAACATGCATGGACCGTGAGGACATGATGCTAAGGAAAATAAGCCAGTCATAAAAGGGCAAATATCTAAAGCAGTAAAATTCGGAGAGATGGAAAGTAGTTGGTGGTTGCCAGGGGCTGATGGGGTCAGGAGGAGGAGGGAAAGGGAGTAAGTGTTTAATGCATATAGAGTTCCAGATTGGAAAGATGAAATAAAGTTCTGGAGATGGATGGTGGTAATGGTTGCACAACAATGTGAATTACTTATTACCACTGAACTGTAGACTTAATGATTAAAACGTTAAAGTTTATATTATATATATTTTACCACCACTTAAAAATAAAATGAGAGAGACAAAGAGAGAGGATGGGGTGGAGGGAGGGAG